GGATCGCTTGAGCCCAGGAGTGTGAGGTTGCTGTGAGCTAGGATGACGCCACGGCACTCACTCTAGCCCGGGCAAAAAGAGTGAGACTCTGTCTCAAAAAAAAAAAGAAACTGGTCAAATACAATGTCACTTCTCTGTCCTTATTTAACTCTTCAGTAGTACCCATCATACAGCTGTCCATTCCTTGCACCTTGAAGCACTTTCTTCTTTTGGCTTCCTTGACACACTCCCAGTGTCCCCTACCTTTCTGGCCATTTCTTTCCAAGTACTTGGGCTGTTTTCTCCTCTGCTCAATTTCTAAAATTTGGAGTCCCCCAAGGCTCTGTGCTGGGCTCCTTCCTGGATCTGAATATCCTTCCTAGGTGGCTCACCCAGTTCCCATGGCTTAAAACCATACACATGCCAAGGACTCTCAAATCTATCTATCTCCAGCCCTGTCCCCTCCCTAGAATCCCCCAGACTACCAACCTGATCCATGCACCTGGATATCTGATAGCATCACGGGCCAAAAGAGAACACAATTCCACCCCCTGTGCACACATGTACATGCATGCACACACGCACACGCGTGTGCACACACACACACTCACACTCACATACACACACATACTCCAGCCAAACCTGCTCATCCTTCATTCCAATAAATGGCACCATTATTATCCATTTGCCCAAAGCCTAAGGATTATCTCTTCCTTGTCAAATTCCCAGCCCATCAGTGTTACCTGCTAGACGCATCTTGCATCCATCCACCCACTTCCTTCAGTGCCACTACGCCAGCACAGTGAAGGCACCAACCTCCCTCTCTCAGCGGTTGCTGAAGAGAACTGACACTCAACCTGCTGCTCTCCTGCCGTCTCTACCGCAGCCCCTTCTCCACCCGGCAGCCTGGCAGCCGGAATGATCTCTTAAAAGCATTAGTCAGGTTATGTTCCCCTTGCCCCAAGATCCAACCCCAACTCCTTACCCTGGCTCTAAGCCCTACGTGAGCCAGCCCTTTATTACTCCTTCGATCTTTCCTGACGCTCCCCCTTGCCCACTTTGCTGTGCCAGCAACACTGGCTGTCCCTCTGGTCCTTCCAGTCAGCTGGCCACGGCTCTTAAGGCCTTCAGCCTAGGATGTCTTTCCCCTGCGTTTTCACACGCTAGAAGCCCTC